AAATGAACTTTCCTTTGTTAGCTCCACAGTCCGTGGTCCAGGAGACAGAGTCTGATTGGCCAAGCTTGGGGTCAGGTGACCCTGTGAATGGGGGAGGGCAGGGCATGTTGGTTGACATTCCTATCCTTACTACCCACAGCAGAGGAAAGGTGATACCTGAAAAGGATATCAAGTCAATTGTAGTGAAATGAAGCTGGATAACCAAAAACCAATAGATGTCACCATATGACTTTTAGGACAGTTTTTATTAAGTGTGTAAAGTACTTGGATTGGCACTTGAGAAATAATAGATTTTTCAATATATGACTGAATCGATTGAGAGGTTGCCTGCTGTTTTGAAAAGGATCCTGCCTGTGATACTCTGCCTCCTAAACTAAATTGTAAGCTTCATGAAGGCAAAGATGCTGGTATTTATTAGGTTGGTGCAAACGTAACTTGCAATTGCTTTTGCACCTACCTAATAAATCTTTAAGTTCTCCACACATTAGTTGGTATAAGATGTTGTGGGCTTTTTCTCCAGAACACCTGTGACAGAGGGTCTTCACCTGATAATCTATACGCCTAGAGATGTGCTCAGGTGGCAGCACAAATAAGAAGGTTTGTGGGAAATGAGCAGTTCACGGTGCGCTTGCTCTGATGCCACTCTTGACGGACTGCTCTGGACAGCATGTGGGAATGCAAGGGAGTGAGGCTGTCTTTATGCCTAGGGTAGCCTTGAAGCACCTTACTTTATGAAAGACTGCATTCGTCACAAACTTTGGCATTTGAGAAATGTGTGTGTGCATGCACTTACACAACAAAAACAAGAAATGACCTTTTTCTGTTTTTCTAATTTTTTAAATTTTTTTTTAGGCAGGATCTCACTTTGTCACTCAGGCTGGAATGCAGTGGCATGATCTTGGTTCACTGCAGCTTCAACCTTCTGGGTTCAAGCGATACTCTTGCCTCAGTCCCCCAAGTAGCTGGGACTACTGGCGGGTGCCACCACACCTGGCTGATTTTTTATTTTTATTTTTTGTAGAAACAGAGTTTCACCATGTTGCCTAGGCTGGTCTCGAACTCCTGAGCTTGAGTGATCCTCCTGCCTTGGCCTCCCAAAGTGCTAGGATTGCAGACGTGAGCCACTGCACGTGCCCGGCCTGTTTTTCTAAAATTAAATTCAGTTGAAGTGACCATCACCAAGCTTCATGACAAGTTCAAGTTCAATGTCAGATCATTTTGGTGTCCCTTGCCTGTGTCCTTCCCACTTGAGATCATGTGCACCACAACCCACCCCAGCCCCCATCCCAGGGCTTATAGGCAGTCCAGTGAAATGAACCCTGACCAGTATTAGTGACTGGTGCCCCTGGCCCTTGGCCAAACAGCCCTGCTGACTGCCCTTTTCCTACCCCTAAACACCTGGGTAAAGGTCCTGCGCAGAGGTTACCTGGTACTCATCCTCCCACACATACAGCCTTGACGGTCCTAGCTTTTGAGGCCTCTAAGAGCTCCTCAGTCAAGAGGTACACAGGACCCCATCTTTAAGCAAACCAGCCTCTCCCTTCTGTCTACAAGGATCTACCCACTGTTAGCATCAGGGCCCTCTTCCCTTCAATGTTTATTGTTTTGTTTTGTTTCATAATTTAACTAAGAGCTTTATGGAGGTATAGTTCACATACCATGCAATTTTTCCATGTAAACTGTAGAATTCAGTAGTTTTTAATATATTCGCAGAGTTATGTCACTATTACAGCAATTTTAAAGCATTTTTATCACCCCTAAAAGAAACCCTGTACCCATTACCAACCACTTCCATGCCTCACCCCACCACCCCTGCTCCCAACCCTAAGAAATCAAAAATCTATTTGCTGTCTCTGTGGATTTGCCTGTTCTGGACATTTCATATAAATGGGCTCTTACACTCTATGGTCTATTCTGATTGGCATCTTTTACTTAGCATAATGTTTTCAGGGCTCACCCATGTTGTAGCATGTTGTATATTCCACTTTATGGCTGAATAATATTCCACTGTACGGATATACTAAATTATATTTCTCCTTTCATCTGTCTTTTAAAATTTTTTAAAACATATATATATGTTTTTATATATGTTTTTTAACATATATATGTCAAAAACATATATATAACTATATATTATATATTTTTATGCAAAGATTTTCTAAATTTTATTTTAATTTTTGAAATGAAGTTTCACTGTTGTTGCCCAGGCTGGAGTGCAATGGTGTGATCTCGGCTCACTACAACCTCCACTTCCCGGGTTCAAGCAATTCTCCTGCCTCAGCCTTCCAAGTAGCTGGGATTACAGGCACCCGCCACCATGCCCAGCTAATTTTTTTGTATTTTTAGTAGAGATGGGATTTCACCATGTTGACCAGGCTGATCCACCTCAGGTGATCCACCTGCCTCGCCCTCCCAAAGTGCTGGGATTACAGGCATGAGCTACTGCACCTGGCAGATTTTCTAAATTTTAAATGCTGGTCAATTAAAACAAACACAATGTGCGACAGAGGACACAAAATTGTGGTTAAGACTAAATGCTGAGTCCAGGTGCGGTGACTGACATCTATAATCCCAGCACTTTGGGAGGCCAAGGTGGGAGGATCACCAGAGGTCAAGAGTTCAAGACCAGCCTGGCCAACATGGCAAAACCCCATCTCTACCAAAAATACAAAAAATTAGCTGGGCGTGGTGGCACACACCTGTAATCCCAGCTACTCGGGAGGCTGAGGTGGGAGGATGGCTTGAACCTGGGAGATGGAGGAGATCGTGCCACAGCATTCCAGCCTGGGCAACAGAGTGAGACTCCATCTCAAAAAAAAAAAAGAGTAAATGCTGAATGTGATCCCTGAGAGATGCGGAGACATGACTAATCTCAGGGAGTCTTCAAAGGGTCAGCTGGAGGGGACACTCACCTGGCAACTCCTGCCCTCTTATTTGGCAGTGCAAAAAGGCTCTTCATCTTTTTGGAGAAGGAAATCCCTGTATCTATGGAAAAGACAAGGGATTTGAAAGGCCCAAGTCTAGAGTCTAAAGCTCTGGATTGGGAAGGAGGTGAAATTCTTCTCATTCTTTGGCTCATGAGTCTGCTGCAGCAGGGAAAAAAACAAACCCCAGGCTGATGCCTACATCAAATTACTGCTAAATTGTCCTGCAAATTACTGTAGCCTAGTTCAGGATAGATTGTGACCTGCTAGCGTGACCTTGATTATGACTGTGACCTCCACCACGGTTGAAAACTGCTGATTTTGTATAAGATGTGCCCTGAGGCCGGGCGTGGTGGCTCAAGCCTGTAATCCCAGCACTTTGGGAGGAAGAGGCGGGAGGATCACTTGAGGTCAAGAGATCGAGACCATCCTGGCCAACACGTTGAAACCCGTTGGTGAAACCCGTCTCTACTGAAAATACAAAAAGTAACCAGGCATGGTGGCGGGCACCTGTAATCCCAGCTACTCGGGAGACTGAGGCAGGAGAATTGCTTGATCCGAGGAGGTGGAGGTTGCAGTGAGCCAAGATCGCGCCACTGCACTCCAGCCTGGGCGACAGAGCGAGACTCTGTCTCAAAAAAAAAAAAAAAAAAAAAAAAAAAGATGTGCCCTGAATCCGTGAAGACAAATTTGTGGAACCAAGAAAGAGAAACAGCCGGGCGCGGTGGCTCACGCCTGTAATCCCAGCACTTTGGGAGGCCGAGGCGGGCGGATCACAAGGTCAGGAGATCGAGACCACGGTGAAACCCCGTCTCTACTAAAAATACAAAAAATTAGCCGGGCGCGGTTGTGGGCGCTTGTAGTCCCAGCTACTCGGGAGGCTGAGGCAGGAGAATGGCGGGAACCCGGGAGGCGGAGCTTGCAGTGAGCCGAGATCGCGCCACTGCACTCCAGCCTGGGCGACAGAGCGAGACTCCGTCTCAAAAAAAAAAAAAAAAAAAAAAAAAAAAGAAAGAGAAACAGTAATAGTGTGATCTTATGTGGAGAAAACACCCTCGTCATGTAGGTTGGGGAATGGAAAGTATCTAAGTTTATGACAGCAACAGCAAGTGTTTATTGAGTAAATAAGCAGTCTCTGTACTACTGCCCACTTTTCATTTTGTTTTGCCCGTGACCATGAAGGAAGTGGGTATTTTTTAAAAGGAAAGAAATTAATAGAACTCAGCATCGGTGTAGTGCTTGGTGTTTGCAAAGAGGTTTCAAATGCATCTCACAGTCTGAGCCTGTGAGAATAGGCGTTTTTACCTGTTTTACAAATGAGGCATTTATATCATTGAGACATAGAAGAGGAGAAATTACTTGATTAAGGTATTCCACCAAAAGGACCTATAACTAAATCTGTATCTTTGATTCTAAGTACCCCATCTTTTCCACAGTGACAGTGCTTTCCAATCCTCTCTCCAGTACTCTCCAATTTTGTTGTATCTAAGTAAAAAGTATAGATATTTTTGAACTTAATACCATGTTTAAGTTTATATTGATATTCCCCACATAGAAAACAATAAAAGGAAATGATGGTTCCCAAGGTGTTTTGGTATTTTTTACATTCTTTGGTTGAGTCTCAACACCAATAATTAATAATTGGGAGCAAGTGTGCCTGTGAATTACTGCAAGTAGAAACTCTATATATGTCATTAATTCTTACAACAGTCTTACAAGGTAGGTATTACTCATTATTATTATTAATTCCTATTTTAGGGTTGAGGGAAATAAAGCTCAGAAATTTAAATACCTAGCTAAAGCTAGTATGTTTCTGAGTTAGGATTTAAGCCCAATTTTGTAAAACACTAAGATGATTTATTATTATTATTATTATTATTATTATTATTATTATAATGCTGCCTTCCAGAAAATGTGTAGCTCCTTGGAAGTTATTGAATTTTGGAGTCGTCAGCTGGATACATTTGGATATTTTAAGAATGAAGTTACCTGCTAGGACTACACACCGTCTTTATTAAAGCTTTGTGCAAAACCAGGTGCTACAGTAGATGCTCTTTCTTTGCATCTTTCCTTTAGGTCTGTCAGTTTGTCGTCTCTGTCAATGGGCTTAACGTCCTGCACGTAGACTACCGGACCGTGAGCAATCTGATTCTGACGGGCCCACGGACGATTGTCATGGAAGTCATGGAGGAGTTAGAGTGCTGAGCTCCTGGGCGTCCCAGCCCTCCAGCGGCCTGTGGGTGATCGAAGCCAGAATGACACAAAGCAATGCAATGGCAAGATTTCCATGCAAATGGATGGTTTTGGACATACGAATCTTCTCCGCACATACATGTCTAAAGTTGAGTTTTATACACTGAATGTGGAAGAACCGGGTATCATATCTTTTTTAAAAAATGTCAGTGTAGAAAACATTTGGGAAACCGTTTTCCTACATGATAGAACTGCCTTACTAGATTTCTATTTGTAGTTGTCATTCATTGTTTTTTATCTTAGTTTGCATTGTTTTGTATCTTAGTGTGTTGAAATGCTTCTCTAGCACAAACAGCCACATCTAAAGTCCCCTTCCTCAGAGTCAATAGAGTAGTTGTTAAAGGTTTTAAATTGTACTTTCTCCAAAATTAGCATGCAACTATTTAATAGGGAGTCTAGATTTCACCAAGATTCAAATCAAAGCAACATTTAAAGGAATAAGACCTGCTCACTAGCATTTTCAAGGGGATTCTAAAGCATTCAAGTGCTTAAAAGCCATAAAAGATGACTTCTTAATTCCTGCCTTTAGTGTCAACTTTTAAGTTAATACAGGTTTCAATTGTGGCATTAGCAAAAAAAAAAAGAAACAAAAAAAACTTTGTGATGCTATGGGTGGGGGTAGTTAGAGAGAGACTACATAAAATTGTGTGCCCCTATTTTCTTTCTGATCCTAAATCATTTTGTTTTATAAATCAGCTATAGCATCTTTCTAGAATTAATCCTGAATATGTTGAATGTTAAAATAGAGAAGTTTGTATATACACATTATTAAAAATCAACCCTTCTGGCAAGATTTCACTTTGAAGGTGTCTGTTTTTAAAGGACATGTTTAGTTTAAAGTCTAAAACTTTGCTGATACGTGATAAAACTTGAACTCTAAGTTGCCTCCTTAGCCTGAATTTTTACTAGCTTTCTAGGGTAACATATTCTAAGGACATGACATGCTGCTTATTTGGGGGGATTATTTTTCACCAAAATGATCATCTTGTGTTGTAACTTTTCAGCTCACTTGTATATATGCATGTTTTCATTTTTGGTCTAGAAAATAGTGCATTTTGGGGCTTGGTGTGCAGAGGAAATTCCTCAAAGTGCCAAATTAGGGAGTCAGGGAATAGTAAATTCTTCATTCCAAATAGTGGATCTGAATTATGAGGTTAATTTTTTATCATGCATTAACAAAATAAAATATGAGAATTGTACCACAGTCATTTTTTTCATTATGTTATCATAATGTATACGTACTGGTGGAATGGACCTACCATGCTAAATATGTTATATATATATATATTTCTGGTAATCCAACTTTTCTGATTTGTAGCTTTAGTCAAGAATAGGATTTTGGAGTGACAGAGAATGTCTTAACAGTAATACTGTTGATATACATTTGAGAAATACTGTCACCTCTGTGTGGGTGTGCGTTTGTATGGTATGGCAGACTGTGCATTTAATATATATGATATCCTTTAACTCTCATTACAACCTTGCAAGGTAGATATTAGCATCCACATTTTTCAGATGTGGAAGGTAAGTCTGAGCAAGTTTTAAAATGGTCTGTAAATTCACACGGCTGCAGGAACTACTAAGTGAAATAGACTGACTGTAAACACAGTTTAACGCTAAATCCCGTGTTACTCCCCTCAACTTTTCCTCATTTAAGGACCTTATATTGAGGGTTTATTCTGAGCCAGGCTCTGTGCTAAGACTTTACGCCATTTGTCCTTATTGACCTATGAAGTCAATAAGGTCATTATCTCCATTTTACAAATGAGGAAACTGACTTGTAAAGTGGTTAGTCATATGCCCAAGGCCACAAAACTAATAAAGTGGGAAACTTTACCACTGGCTTAAAAAGTTTTTTATAGCATCTTTAAAAGATGAGTCTTAAATGCTTTCTGTGCTCAGGTATTCATTAAGTGACAAAAGAAGAAGGAACACCTTTCGAGAAATGGTATCTCCTTTTGAGAAATGGTGTCTTCTTCTTGCCTGCTTTACCCATTATCTTGGACCCTGGCATCATAGAACTTCCCTTTACCCAACCCTAAGCACCAGAGAAGCATCTCTCTGTATCTATTGCACACAAATCTCCTCTTGGCCGTGAGGAAGGAAGGAAAGAAGGGAGACAGGATTTCCTTCTTTGGTTCCCTTCACCCTAGGTTCAAAAGCCAAAGGTCATGGGAGCTTTCCCTTAGCTACTCCTCCAGCCCACCCCTGACATCTTTACATAGCAATTAAAATGACTACCCTTACTTCCCTGGGGACCCTGTCTCACCCCCTCCAGCCTTTGCACACATACTTTCTTCTTCGTGGACAGAAGAATGTTCTGTCTTACTGTTTCCTGGAAAATTCTTTCTTCATGTAAATTCCCTTTAGAAATTGTCTCCTCTGAGAAGCCTTCACCGGCTCCCCAGTTCTAGGATTGATGCCTCTTCTCTAAATTTACATGGATCCTTAAGTCCTCCCTGTGCCCCATTAGAGCACTGATGACATTTACTTTGAAATTCCCCTGTTACATGTCTGTTTGCCTAAGTAGACTCTAAACATCTGCAGAACAGGGGCTGTGTCTTAGTATCCAGGGTATTTTCTTCACCTAACACAATTCCTGCCACAGAGTAGTGTGTCAGCTCTCCACTGTTGTCTAAAAACCCACCTCAAGGGTGGGGCGCAGTGGCTCATGCCTGTAATCCAGCACTTTGGGAGGCTGAGGCAGGTGGATCATTTGAGGCCAGGAGGTCAAGACCAGCCTGGTCGACATGGTGAAACCATGTCTCTATTAAAAAGTAGAAAAATTAGCTGGGTGTTGTGGCATGCACCTGTAATCCCAGCTACTCAGGAGGCCGAGGTGGGAGAATCACTTGAACTCACCAGGCGGAGGCTGCAGTGAGCCAAGATAGTGCCATTGCACTCCAGCTTGGGCAATAGAGTGAGAGTCCAGCTCAAAAAAATAAATAAGTAAATAAAAAATAAAAACCCAGCTGGGCACAGTGGCTCATGCCTGTAATCCCAGCACTTTGGGAGGCCGAAGTGGGTGGATCACTTGAGGTCAGGATTTCGAGACCAGCCTGGCCAACATGGTGAATCCCCATTTCTACTAAAAATACAAAAAATAAGCTGGGCGTGGTGGTGCACGCCTGTAATCCCAGCTACTTGGGAGGCTGAGGTGGGAGAATTGCTTGAACCAGGAGGTGAAGGTTGCAGTGCGCCAAGATTGTGCCACTTCACTCCAGACTGGGCAACAGAGTGAGACTCTGTCTCAAAAAAATAAATAAATAAAAATAAAAAAATAACAACAAAAACACATCTCAAATCATGACTTAAAAAAAAAAAACAAAAAAACCCACCTCCAATAATGGCCTTTAGCAACATCATTTATTTGCTTATAATCCTGTGGGCTGGCAATCTGGGCAGAGCTCTGCCGGTGTGATCCACCACTGCTCCATGGGTGCCAGTTGGGACTCCACACACCTTTGTGGTTAGTGAGCAGATTGGTTGGAGGCTGATTGACCTTGACTGGCCTCATGTTTGTGTCTCAAAGTTGGCTGGGGCTGTCAGCTGATATTCCTTAGTTCTACTCCCCATGGCCTTTCCCCATGGCCAGCCCAGGCTGAGATCTGAGATTGAAGACGGTGAGAACAGAAAGTACAAGGTCTTCTCTTGACTTGAAAGCTAGTCCAGAATCAAGGGAAATAAAGCCCACCTTTTGATGGAAGGAGCTTCAAAGAATTTGTAGTCATTTCCAATCCACAAAGAGTAGGTACTCACTATTTGTTGAATAAAGTCCTAAGAGTAGGTACACACTAAGCGTAGGTACCCACTATTTGTTGAATAAAGCCCTATCGAAAGCTTTTTAGCTATCCAGATGCAAATTACTGGCCACCCTTTGGGCAGAATTATAAAATTCTACCCAAAAGTCTACCAAATTACTTGTACTTGTAAAATTCTACCAAATTACTGGCCAACTTTTGGGTAGAATTGTACAATTAAGTTGTGAATAAAGCTTATTGCCTAATAAGAACTTCCAAGTCAGAGAATCCCAAAATGATTGTGCTACACAGGGCCACATAGAGCACAGCTTTGTCTTTTTTATTTTTTGAGATGGAGCCTTGCTCTGTTGCCCAAGCTGGAGTGCAGTGGCGCAATCTTTGCTCAAGGCAACTTCTACTTCCCAAGTTCAAGCAATTCTATTTGAGCCTCCTGAGTAGTGGGACTACAGGCATGCGCCACCATGCCCCATTTTGTATTTTTAGTAGAGACGGGGTTTCACCAGGTTGGCCAGGCTGGTCTCTAACTCCTGACCTCAAATGATCTGCCTGCCTTGGCCTCCTATAGTGCTGGGATTATAGGCATGAGCCACCATGCCTGCCTGCTTCGTCTTTTCACTGGGCTAATGAAGATACAGGTGTGGAATGGTTTCATGGCATGCCCAACCTCATGAGGCTTGTTGGGTCAGAGCCTGTGCCAGATGCCAGTCTTCTGCCTTCCAGTCTTATAGTTGTTACACGATAGCCTTCTGCAGTGGATGGTAATGTGGCCAAAATAAGCCTTTGGTTTTGGAGTATTCATAAGCTGAAAGTGGGGCCATGTACCTTGACGCTGGGGGAATATATTTTAATTGACTCAAGCCTTTCGTTGCTGAATATCTTTAAAAAAAAAAAAAAAAGTATTTTGCCTGATATTTTCACAATTGTTCTGCTTGAAATGTAAAATTCCAATTTCTAAATGTAATACCAAGATTTATCCTAAATTAACAATAAGCAGTGTTTCTAATAGCTTTTATTTCATATATATGTGTGTGTGTATAATCTTCAAATAGGAAAGTGTATTGTGCATGAGGTTTCACTCACTGAGAACCTCTGAAATGTCTTTATTTGCCCCCTTTAAAAGAAACCATGATTTCCAGGCATTTGTGTTTATGTTTTTGCTATGGAGATGAAAGTAGTTTCTGTTTCTTCATTAGCATAGGATGTGCACATTGAAAGCCATGTTCCCTTGTAGAAAGAAAAATGCTGTTGCCTTTTGGGTTGATTCTATTGTCTGATGTTTTATTAATCTCTGTGAAATAATTGTGTAAATTAATATAGAGACTAGTTGAGAAACGGTGGATAACATGAAGAAGATACCCATTTTTGCATAGATCAGATGTGATCAACTTCACACTATCATGTGAAAGGTGGCTGCATCGGAGAGACAGGAATTAATATTAAAAATGTTTTCTATTCAGACTGGTATCTTACATTTCCAAATATTATTTTCTTTTGAATATGCGGTATAAGTAATCTGCTGTAAGTCCTATTTTAGGTTGGGTGCAGTGGCTTACGCCTGTGATCCCACCATTTTGGGAGGCTGAGACCAGGAGTTTGAGACCAGCCTAGGCAACAGAGTGAGACCCCATCTTTACAGAATGTAAATAATTAGCCAGGCGTGATGGCACATGCCTGTAGTCCTAACTGCTTGGAGGCTGAGAAGGGAGGATAGCTTGAGCCTGGGAGGTTGAGGCTGCAGTGAGCTGTGATCACACCACTGCACTTCAGCCTGGACAATAGAGCAAGACACTATCTTGAAAAAAGATAAAAAGATAAAAAGACCAGTTTTAAACTGATGATAATTACTATTCTCTCCTGTTGACTATTAATCTTGTTTCATTTTTATTATAAATAAATCAGAATGACTAAAACATTTCAATTTTGCTAGTTGACTGAAATGTATTGATGTAGTTGGCCATGGTTTTACTCACTTAAGGCAGAATTTCAGGGGTAACATGTTTTTTCTTCAGTTCAGTACCAAAAGGACAAATCTGCCATGTACCAAAATGAAACTTGTCATCAAAGACAGCATATGGTATTGTCAAATGCGTTAATAAATAATAAAGATACTTAATATATATCTTTATTTTAAAATTATGTTGAGATTTACTTGCTTCTCTTATGAAAATGTATACCATAATACTTAAAATTATTGTATGAAAACACATAGGTGTATAGCGTGAAATAAATGCTTACTTTTTTTTTTTTTTGAGATGGAGTCTTGCTCTGTCACTAGGCTGGAGTGCAGTGGCATGATCTCGGTTCAGTGCAATCTCCGCCCCCCGGGTTCAAGCAATTCTCCTGCCTCAACCCATTGAGTAGCTGGGACGCACCACCACGTCCAGCTAATTTTTTGTATTTTTAGTAGAGACAGGGTTTCACCATGTTGGCCAAGATGGTCTCTATCTCTTGACTTTGTGATCTGCCCTCCGCGGCCTCCCAAAGTGCTGGGATTACAAGTGTGAGCCACTGCAGCTGGCCCACAGTTTTTAAAATAATGACTTTAGGGTTTCAGATTTTCCTGTCTTTCAAAACAAATTAGCCATTTTTTATCCTAAGAAAGGGTTGCATTATAAAGCTGACCTACTACTAGCTTATCAGAAAAAACACATGGGTCTCATATCTGATTCTCCTATGTAGCCAAAAGTGCCATTTGTAAGTCTACTTAACGATGGATATTTTCTGAAGATCTTTTGCCTGGAAAACAAATAGTGCATTAAAAAGCTTTTTTGGTACTCTGCTGGATTCAGAATTATTTTCTCCCTACCTAGGTCAGTATTGATGGGTATAACAGAATATTCTATGTGGAAAAATACTGTGTGATTGTCTGCTACTCTGGGAGAATGTTAAATTTTTTCCCGATATTTCATGTGTGTATGGGTTACTGTAAAGTATTGGGGTGAGAGGTTATTCAGACTACACTCAACATTAACCAAAAATATTTTTGAACTTTCTGTAATTTATTCACTCACTCATTCATTCTTTCATTCAGGAAACCTTACTGAGGACTGGGGTTGTGCTGGACATTGTATACAGGCACTATGAATAAAAAATGAGTAGACATGCCCTTGGACCCAGATAATCCTTCAAGAGTCACCTTTTAGCCTGAATCCTAGAATTCTCCACATATAGGAGGAAATAAAAAATCATGGTGTTAAAACAGGTGGCTTAATGCTAGAAACCTCTATCCAACCCGAGCACCAGAATACAGATAATAATTTACACTTACCTGTATTCTTTTTCCCAGCCACTTTTCCTCATCCAAGGAAAACACAGTGATGAACATTGAGTTTATAAGTTTCTTGCTTTTTTTGTTCCTAAGGGTTGTTTATGTTTTTACAAAATGAACTTCATTAAAACAGCACCAAGTTTTATATAATCTTCTAGGACTTGGTTGTTTTCATCCAGTATTAATATTATTAAGTTTCTTTCAGATGTTTGTGTATAGTTGTGATTCATTTATTTATCACAGCTTCATAAATTTCCAGACCACCAATTATTTATCTGTTTTCTTGTCTATGGGCTTTTGGGTGGTTTCCATTTTTGTTGTCATAAGTGGGGTTACTGTGAACATTCTCATAGCATCTCCCGGGGGTCCAAGTGAAGGAGTTTCCCTTAGGAATCCACTTAGGAGAAAAATTGCTGAGTCGTAAGGAATGTGAATGCTCAGCTTTACAAAGTCACATCTAACTAGCCTCCAAATTGGTTGAAGTAAAACATAAAAGTGATGCGTAGGCTGGGCGCGGTGGTTCATGCCTGTAATCCCAGCACTTTCGGGAGGCCTCAAGTGACTCAGGTGGGTTGCTTGAGGTCAGGAGTTCGAGACCAGCCTGGCCAACAGGGTGAAACCCCGTCTCTATTAAAAATACAAAACTTAGCCAGATGTGGTGGCGGGCGCCCGTAGCCCCAGCTATTCGGGAGGCTGAGGCGGGAGAATCGCTTGAACCCAGGAGGAAGAGGTTGCAGTGAGCTGAGATTGGACCACTGTACTCCAGCCTGGGCGACAGAGTGAGACTCCTTCTAAAAAAATTAAAAAGTTGGGCGGGGGGGGAGATGTATAGTAATCAATATCTTATCCAACACTTGAGATTTGAAACTTCTTAATTTTGATCAAATGGGTGTTTATTTTGTCATTGATACTAAGGATTCTACATTGCTGCAAAGCTAGTAAACTTGAAAGCACAGAAACCCTAAGAAGTAGTTTGCCATCCTAACTTACTACATCACTGTCTTTATAATACCCAGGATGTCTTGAAACGTTTATCTTACAGCTCTGTGACTAGAGTGAGGCCAGGATTATTAGGAATTGGTGTGACATATTCAGGAACATGCAACAAATGATTTATTAAGTGCCTGCTATGGCCAGTCACTTAATGTTTGGCCAACAGCAGTAAGTAAGACAGATCCCTTTCTTTATGAAGTTTGCATATTATTGGGGGAGACAGACAATAAGTATGTTATATAAATAAAATAATTAATTTTAGATAGGGGTAAGTGCTAAGGAGTAAATGAATCCAAATGAGTGATAGAGAATGACCAGGCTTCATCTGAGAGGTGAATGAAAAACGGGGCTTCCGGGTCTCCGATTCCAACAAGGCACCATTCACATTACAGTCTATAAGAACCGCACCTTCTGAGTTATGGAGGGCAACAGCCCTGAGCAAAAGCCTCTGCAAACCTGATGTTCTGAGTTAATGTCTAAAATATGGGAATGAGCCAGCCCTAGAGAAATCTGGAAGAAGAGCACTGCAGGCAGAGAAAACAGGAAGTCTAAAGGAACCAAGGGTATAAAGGTCATTGTGGTTACGAGCGTGGGCTCTGAGAACATAAAGTCCAGGTTCAGGCCAGGCACGGTGGCTCACACCTGTAAACTATGGGAGGCTGAGGCGGGTAGATCACCTGAGGTCAGGAATTCGAGACCAGCCTGGCCAACATGGTGAAACCCCATCTCTACTAAAAATACAAAAATTAGGCCAGGCATGGTGGCTCTCACCTGTATTCCAAGCACTTTTTGGGAGGCTGAGGTGGGTGAATCACGAGGTCAGAAGTTTGAGACCAGACTGGCCAACATGGTGAAACCCCGTCTCTACTAAAAATACAAAAAATTAGCTGGGTGTAGTGGCGGGCACCTGTAATCCCAGCTACTCGGGAGGCTGAGGCAGTAGAATCACTTGAACCCGGGAGATGGAGGTGGCAGTGAGCTGATATCACGCCATTGCACTCCAGCCGGGGTGACAGAGTGACTCTGTCTCAAAAAAAACAAAAACAAACAACAAGAACAAAATACAAAAATTAGCCAGGAGCAGTGGCAGGCACCTGTAATCTCAGCTACTCCGGAGGCAGAAGCAGAAGAATTGCTTGAACCCAGGAAGTGGAGGTTGCTGTGAGCTGAGATTGCACCACTGCACTCCAGCCTGGGCAACAGAGTGAGACTGCGTCTCAAAAACAAAATAAATAAATGAAGTCCAGGTTCAGATTCCTGCTGTAACACAGGAGCACATCCAGTTACTCAACCTCACCAGGCATCAGTTTCCTTATGTGTAAAAGGGGATAACAGTACCTACTCCATTTGACTACTGTGAAGGTTAAATTGGATGATGCGTGTAAAATGCTTATCCCTGTCTCTGACCCGTAATAGCTAATCAACAATTGAATGTTTTTCTTGTTTTCATACCTACTAAACAAAAGAGAAAATGCACTCTGGAGAAGTGATTTGCCCCCAAACTCATACCAACTAATGTGTAGCTGGGACTGAAATGCATGCTCAGAAATTCTCAGTCCAGTGCTTTTTATCCGCACATCTTTCTGCATCTCAGTTTTCTCATTTTTAAGTGGGATAATAATCTCATATGAAGTATTATAGTAATCTGTTATTAAGGCTAATGAATTGATACATGTAAAGCTTTAGTACAGTATCTGGCACACAGTAGGTGCTCCAATAACTGTAGGTATTGTTATTATTAATACTATATTATGTTAATTACCTGTCTTCTTGGCAGGCCCACACAAATGCACAAGAACATTACATTGTCTATACATTTATATCTTCACCGGCAATATGCATTTGAGCTGTTCTAATTATCATAAGACAATAATACAAGTGTGATATGGTTTGTCTCTGTGTTTACACCCAAGTCTCATCTGAATTTGTAATCCCCACATATCAAAAAAGGGAGGTGATTGGATCATGGGAGTGGTTTCCCCCATGCTGTTCTCGCGATAGTGAGTGAGTTTTCATGAGATCTGATGGTTTTATAAGGGGCTCTTCCCCATTTGCTTTCTCTTCTCCCTCCTGCCGCCTTACGGAGAAGGTGACTGCTTCCCTTTCCGCCATGATTCTGTTTCCTGAGGCCTCTGCAGTCATGCTGAACTGTGAGTCAATTAAACCTCTTTCCTTTCTTTATAAGTTACCCAGTCTCGGGTAGTATCTTTATAGCAGTGTGAGAACGGACTAATACACTGGCAATATGCATTTCAGTTGTTTTAATTGTCATAAGACAATAATACGAGTATTAGAAAAATACATATAATAAACTCCATATTCAATTGAGTAAGGTAAAGGAAATCATCCATTCTGTTGCTTTCCCTATATTCCTCAGGTACTGAGAAAGAGATTCACGGGTTGGTAGAAAATGTAGCTCTGCTGGCCAGGCGCAGTGGCTCACACCTTTGGGCAGGCCCAGCACTTTGGGAGGCCAAGGCGGGTGGATCACCTGAGATCGGGAGTTCAAGGCCAGCCTGACCAACGTGGAGAAACCCTATCTCTACTAAAAATACAAAATTAGCCGGGCGTGGTGACGCATGCCAGTAATCCCAGCTACTCGGAAGGCTGAGGCAGGAGAATCACTTGAACCCAGAAGGCGGAGGATGCTGCGAGCCGAGATCCGCCATTGCGCTCCAGCCTGGATTTCTGGCTGGAAATTGGCAGAAGGCAAAAATAATTTTGCAATGGATCCTTATTCAGCTACCTAGCTTTTGAAACTAGAAGTTATAAGTAAATAACTTCCCAAACAACCTTTAAAACTTAAAATTTCATACAGAATAATTTTAAAACACTGCTTAATATTATCTACTTATTACCTTATCAGACTCTCAGCAGTTTTACAGCCTGTTAGAAAAGCAATCCAAGTAATCAACATTTATGTACTGAGTATTTTATACAGCAAACACTCTTTCTCAGGATATATTGGAGACTTAGTTTTGATGACAAAGGAGGTTCTTTTCCTAAACACACCTTAATTAAGACATTATTTGTCTTTTGAGGGCAGCCTCCTAAGTCTACAGGTTTTAGAGATTCATGCCAGAATTAAGTAAGCAACACCACCCCCTGCGCTTCTGTTAGCACAAGCTTTCTGCGGTCAGAGAGTGGAAGCACAGACTGCTGTCATGTACGTCTGACGAATGCACTGAGCAAAATAAAGGCGTGCTCTGTAAAGAACTTGGCTGAAGTGTCTATTTTCTTAGTTCCAGGACCTGACAACTCTCTTTTTCTTTTGCATGTCATTCTGCTTATGTGAATTTTTCTCTTTGCCTCTTGGGACTCCCTATCTTATACTAAAATGTGCTTTTCTCCCTTGGAGTGAAATACTAAATTTCTTGAAGTCTGAGATGATTGGGTCCACAGAGGCCAATTCATAATCGAAACTTAATATAGGTGGCCACTGACACCTCTTGAGATGCAATCCCAGAGGATGGAAGAAAGAGAGAGGGAAGATGTATGCTCTGTTACCTCAAT